TTTTATTTACTGTAGTTATCATGCAATTAAATACGAGGCATTACTGTCGGCGCGACACAGAACAGAACTGTAAAAGAAAATGAATGCAGCAAAAAAAGACTTCAATCTGACTAATAATTTCGGAGATAGACGCGAAATAAATTATGCGTAATTTGAGAAATTGGCTGACAATTTAAAAAAAAATACTGTCACTTTTTTCTAATATCTATTATATAAAGGTAGAATATTGTAGAAATTGAATTAAGCACAGACGACTTCAATTTGACTAATAGTTTAGGAAATAGACGCGAAACAAAAAGGAGCATATGTTGAGAAATTGGCCAACAATTTTAGACAGAACATTGATTTTGTCGCTTTTTTCTGAAATCACGTGAGTAGATAGAAAACATTACGTGATTCTGAATGCAACAAACCAGACTCCAACCCGACTAATAGTTTCGAAGATAGACGCGAAAGAAAAATGGTGCCTAATTTGAAAAATTATCTGACAATTTTTGAAAAACAAATTGTCGCTTTTTTCTGATATCAAGTCGGTACAACACTGAATAAGAAATTGAATGCAGAAAACAAGCCTCCAGTCCGACTACAAATTTCGGCCATCGACGCGAAACCAAATTGTGCTTAGGTAAGGCAATTGGCTGAAAATTTTTGAAAAAAAAATTTTGTCACCTTTTTTTAAATCAAGTATGTAAGTAGTACACTGTACGAAAAATTGAATGTAGCAAACAAGATTCCAATCCGACTACTCGATCAATCCAAGACGACAATTTGGGAAAATGGCTCACAATTTTGACGCATTTTTCTGAAATCACGTTGATCACAATCTAAAAATAGTTAACTAGGAATTGAACGCAGCAAACAACACTCCAATTCAACTTATAGTTTCAGAGAAAAATCGAAATGATGCATAATTTAGGATATTGGCTGACAATTTTGGAACACAATTTTTTCTCGATTTTTTTTAAATCAAGTATGTACGTAGAACATTGAAAAAAAATTGAATGCAGCAAACAAGGTTCCAATCTGTCTTATAGTTTCAGAGATACGCGAAATGAATTGGAGCCAAAATTGGCTCAAAAATTTAGAGAAAAAATAATTTTCTCGTTTTTTCTGAAATTAAATACGAGTATGTAGGTAGAAAACTGTAGGAGTAATTAAATGAAAATGCAGCAAACCAGACTTTAATCAAACAAGAAGTTACGGAGATAGACACAAAAAATGATGTCTAGGTTAAAAATATAGCTGAACATTTTGAAAAAAAAAAATTAATTTTGTCACTTTTTGCTGAAATTACGTATGTAAGTATAATTCTTAACGCGAAATTGAATGCTGCATAATAGGCACTAATCCGACTAACAGATGCAGCGACAGACGCAAAACCAAATGGTGCATACGTTGGGAAATTGGTTGAGGAATTTGGAAAGAAAGAAATTTTCTCGCCTTTTTTTTTTTTTTTTTTTTTTGAAATTAAGTATGTAGGTAGAACAATATGACAAAAATTAATTGCAGCAAATAAGACCGCAAATCGATTAATAGTTTCGGTGACCGACAAAAACACTATGATGCTTAGGTTAAAAACTAACCTAAACATTTGGGGGGGAAATTGTCGTTTTTTTTCTAAAATTAAGTATGCAGGTAATACACTCCAATACACTGCAGGTAATACACTCCAGCAACAATACTCCAATCCGAAAAGAAATTTCAGGCAGCAACACAACAAAAAATGGTGCCTCGGTTAAAATATTAGCTAAAAATTTTGGAAAACAGACGGCTGAAGATTTAAAAAAAAACGCGAAAGATTATTTTTTCCTAATTTTCTCCAAATTTCTCTATTCAAGCCAAATTTCGTTTCACGCTTATCTCCGAAACTAATAGTCCGATTGAAGTCTGGTTTGCTCCTTTCAGTTTCTCGTAAAGAGTTCTACCTATATACGTGATTTCGCAAAAAAGGCACAGATATAATTTTTTTCCAAATTTTCCACCAAATTTCTCTATTTGGGCAGAAGTTTCTTTAACGCTTATCTCCGAAACTAATAGTCAGATTGAAGTCTGGTTGGCTTCATTGAATTTCTCGTAAAGAGTTCTAACTATATACGTTTGCGCAACGAAGCCAAAAAATTTATTTCTTTCCAAATGTTCTACCAAATTTCTCTAATCAGGCATAAGTTTGTTTTTCGCTTACCTCCGAAACAAATAGTCAGATTGAAGTCTGGTTTGCTCCTTTCAATTTCTCGTAAAGTGTTCTGCGTGATTTTGCAAAGAAGCCACGGAATTATTTGTTCCCTAAATTTTCGACAAAATTTCTCTATTCGGACAATTTTGCTTCACGCTTATCTCCGAATTTAATATTGGTATTGAAGTCTGGTTTGCTTCATTCAATTTTTCCTAAAGATTTCTACCTACATACGTAATTTCAGAAAAAACGACAAAATATTGTTTTCCAATATTTAACCAAATTTCTCGCGTTTCGTTCCGCGTGTCTCTGTCACTTATTGTCGGACTGATGTGTGGCTTTCTTCATTCAATTTCTTGTAAAGAGTTCTATCTACATATGTGATTTCAGAAAGAAAAGACGAAATTAATTTTCTCCAATCCGACTAAATAGTTTTGGATAGACGAAACGATGGTGCCTAGGTTAGAAAATTGCCTGAAAATTTGGGAATAAAGTTAATTCTTCACTTTTTGCTGAAAACCCGTATGTACGTGGAATTCTTACCAAGAAATTGAATGCAGCAAACCAGACTCTAATCCTACTAATAGTTTCGGAGGTAGACGCAAAGTAAAATTGTGCTTAAGTCGGGAAATTGGCTGACAATTTTGGGGGGGGGGAAATAATTTTTGTCGTTTTTTTAATCAAATATGTATGTAGAACACTAAACGATGAATTGAATGCAGCAAACCAGATTACAATCTGACTAACAATTTCCGAGATATACGAAAAAAATGGTTAGGAAATTGCCTAATAATTTTGGGGGAAAATTAATATTGTGTTGTTTTTTTCTGTAATCACGTATGTAGGTAGAATACTGTGGGAGGAATTGAATGCAGCCAACCAGATTCCAATCCGACTAAAAGTTGCGAAAATAAACGCTCAAAAAATGGTGCGTTATTAGGGAAATTGGCTGACAATTTAAAAAAAATTGTAGCTTTTTCTGAACTCTAGTATGTAGGTAGAACACTGTAGACTGAATTGAATGCAGCAAGCCATATTACTATCCGAGAATAGTTTCAGAGATAGGCGCGAAATAAAATGGAGGCCTGGTTAGAATGTTGGCTGAAAATTTTGAAAAAAAAAAATTCTTGCTAATTTTCTGAAATCAATTATGTAGGTAAAACACTGTAGAAGACATTGCAGCAAACAAGATGACAATCCGAAAAATAGTTTCGGAGATAGACACAAGAAAATTGTGTCTAGGATAGCAAACTGTCTGAAAATTTTGAAAAAATAAAATTGTTACCTTTTCTGAAATCACGAACGTAGGTAGACTTCTTTACAAGAACTTGAATGCAGCAATCCGACTAATAATTTCAGAGAGAGAGAGTCGCATAACCAAATGGTGCATAATTTGGGAAATTGGCTGGAAATTTTTTAAAAAAAAACAATTTTGTCGCTTTTTTTCTTAAATCAAGTATGGAGGTAGAATAGTGTACGATAAATGGGATGAGGCAAGCATATTCATATCTGACTAATAGTTTCGGAAATAGATGTGAAACAAAATGGAGCCTAGGTTAGGATATTGGCTGACAAATTTTGGGGAAATTTTTTTTTTTTTTTTAAATTACGTATGTAGGTAGAATTTTTAACGAGAAATTGAATGCAGGAAACCAGACTCCCATCCAATCAATAGTTTTCAGACAGACGTAAAACAAAATGGTGCCTAAGTTGGGAAATTGGCTGAAAATTTTGGGGAAAAATTAATTTTCTTTCTTAAGGTTTTTCTGAAATTAAGTATGTAGGTAGAACACTGTAGGAGAAACTGAATGCAGCCAACCCGATTCCAACCCTACTAAAGTTTCGGAAATAAACGCTCAACAAAATGATGTATTATTTGGGAAATTGGCTGATAATTTGGAAAAATAATAATTCTTTCCGCTTTTTTCTGAAATCAAGTAGCTTAGTAGAATAGTTAACGAGAAATTGAATGCAGCAAACCAGACTCCAATCCGACTTATTGTTTCGGAGATAGACGCGAAACAAAAAGGAACCTAGTTGGGGGGGGGGGGGG